ACAGCTGGATCGATTTTGACGGGAATTTCACTGGCAGATAGCTGATGTTATATGGAGTAACTTAGGCTACTTTTATTTTAGAAAAATAATCAGGGTTCCGAGCAAAAAAATAAAAACCCTAACACGCGAGCGAAGTACGGGGAACAGATAGTCTTTAATATAATGGATTTCCACAAAGTAACACCTGATTCTATTACTTAGATATTATAATGATTATATACGCCTTATAAACGCTAATCTTCATCTTCAGCTTAAGATCATAGGACTTCCAGATACGACCAGTGAGTAACCCGAAATTGGCAGCAGCATTAGCAATACGTGATGGTATCTCTGAAGCTAAGGCGTTGTCACGCCGGAAATTGCTTCCAGCATATTTAACCGGTTCGGTGCGGGTGACACGCCAGGCGTGCCATCGATTACTTTTGTGTGGCGTATGACACGCGAGTCGTGTCTTTTTAAAAATCGTTATAACTCGCTCGAATTGTTTTTTGGAAAATTTATCCAGAACAAAATGTTCATTATTTTGCAAGTAGTTCATGCATGCAGCTTCGTTTCTGGATATTTTGAAAATTTGAAATTTTTAGGGGTTGACAACCTTTTTTTAACGTGTACATGGTACTATTATTACCTTGTGGGTTTTAAATCATGTTATGGAAAAATTGTCTAATAAGTAACAAATAGCACTCATTGCGATCGCTCACAAACTCAAGTTGTAAATAAATTTCTGGAAAAGAAGTCTCCTGTTTTAAAAAAACAATGCGTTTGTCTTATTGTTTAATTTTGCTTAAAATGGTTGAACTGCCGTCTTATAACTATCATATGGCCGAATAGATCTACGAAGTACCATGTGCTCTTGTGATATGGTTTATTTTTGCTTGAAACAGTTCGAAACCGTTCATGCATAAAAAAAGTTCGCTAATAAATAGTCTTTTGTCAATCCGCCGCCGTATAGCGCCGGCGTTTTTTTTCTTTTGAAAACACTTGTTTTGCTATTCTTACTAATTAGACTATTTCAGATCGACTTTACTTTTACATTTGTATAACATTAAATAATATTTAACATTTGTAAATATCAATGAATGATATACTTTTTTTTTCAAATTAAGGTTCTTCATTGTTTGATATTTACAAATGTTATTATTAGGTGAAAATTTAATTTAATAAAAACCAAGGTTTCCAGGGTGATTTACCTGGATCTACTTATATAAATGTTTTTTTTTATAACAACAAAAAATAGTACAAAAGGTTTGTAATCTCTTCATAAAAAAAGTCACTTTCTCTCAATTTCAAAGAAAACGCGTAAAAAAAACACGTAGTTACCCACTAAAAACAAGTATCCTTCCATTTGTAACTTATGTTTGATTTCAAATAAACTTAATTAGGTCTAAACAAGTAAAAAAAGCATAAAAAAGAACATTACTTTTGCACATTGTCTGTGGCGCTTGACACGCCCGGCGTATCATGAAATATTTGTTCGCCGTCACAGCTAAAAGTTGTCGAAAATTGGTGCCGAAACGAATCGGTTAAAATGGGCGAACTCGTCAAGTGGTTTTCCATCTAGATTTAGTGCAGATGAATCAGCTTCACTTCTCCTGAGCGATTGTTTTAGGATTTAAGCCTTGGAATCCCTTATAACCAAACAAATTTTTGAGAATAACGATGTAATGCGTCAACGTAGCTTTGGAGATGCACCGTAGTATCTAACTAGAGGCACACGTCGTCAGCGTAAAGAATCTCTAATATGAAGAGTCTTTGGGCTTTAGATATCTTTACTCCACTTGTGATTTAGATTTCCTCAAAATGTTTGTAATCGTGCAGAACTTGCGCTTTCATATCAACATGGAATTGGCGAACGAGGTTGACGAACTTTTTTGAATATCCAAATTTTTTAAGAAAAAACCTTACGTGGAACTCTATTAAATGATTCCCCCAAATTAACAAAGCACATGCAGGGCGGCCGTTGATGTTCAAGGCTTTTCTCCTGGAGTTGCCTTACAATAAGCAATAGCGTCAATAGTTTTTTCGGTTTGTTTTTTGTTTGCTTGAACGCAAACCACATTGACTCGCGTTGATTCACGTATAGACACGTATCATACGCATCACGTAATGTTTGGTCGAACACACGCCAAAATAAAGCCGTCTACTTACACGCCTGCCGCAGGGACAATTTTGAGGTGTAAGGGTGGAGATGACCCTTAATTGTGACATGTGCAGGCGAACAGGGGCGATTTTCTGATTTTAATAAGCATACCTTGTTTACATTAATTATTATAGATTTTTATAATGCATTCAAAATGAATGCCTGTTTTATAGTCGTCCATAACAATTTTCTTTGTTCTCTCTATCAATGGCCCATTGATCGCTTGTCTAGTAATTGTATTTTCTACAAATCCTTCTCCAGCAGATCCCATATAGCAAATTATGAGGCACCCACCTTTTCCCACAGACACGTGTCATTTGTCCATGTTTGTTGGCATTTAGCCATGTTTCATCAGTGAGAATATAACAATGTCCAAATGGGTTATACTTATAATTTCTTATAAAAATGTTATTCTATTCATTCATGTCCCTAAACTGTACACCCAGTGCGTGTTGCCAGTGATGATGAATGCTGGAATTGAAAAACATTGTAAACACAATTTAACTACAAACTCCCTAAAATTACTTGACTGGTTGGTTTACCTTGTTGTCAATACAATGATAAACTCTATGTAGTAACACACCCACTCTAAATAACGACAACAATACATCATTAATAAGTAATAAACAGTACTTTCGAAGTTACCATAATTAATAAGAACTGCAGCTGACCATTAGATTCACATCCTTTCTCCCTAAAGATGATGGAGAGTATGTGAAAGGGAATTAAGGGGGTCGGCTCTAATGAACTTACCGGTACATGATAAGCAACATGCCTACAGCTTAGGTGAATCGACAGAATTACCACTCAAAGGGTAATAACAAAGATTGAAGAGGCCATCCAAACTAAAGCAATATGTCTTGGTTCCTTCAATATATAGAAGGTGCTTTTGACAAAATGAACTTCTCCAGCATAAAAGCTGTACTAAGTAGACATAAAGTTGAGCTGGCACTGATTGACTGGATAGTGAACATGCTCAAAGGTAAAATCATACGTACAGAAGATTCCAAGAAATTCATTCTTTTGTTTGTTTTGATTACCTTGCATGTGTTTACCTCGACTGCCAGACTGTCTTTAGGTTGTTACGCATTATTTATATGTTATCATATTCAAATTGTTAATATGACGAGTAAGAGAAAATCTTTGTGTATTGAGGAAAAAGTTTTATTAATACGCACAATAGAGATATGAGAAAATATAAGTGATATTGCAAAATGCTTTGGATTAATAATGCCATGTATTTGGCCTAATCAGCTCATCCTCTTAAATCTAACCTTCGATGCATAGAGCTGGCATTTTTTCCACCAAATACAACTAGTGTCTTACATCCAATGGATTAAACCATGATTAAAAGTCTCAAGGGACACTACAGAAGGAAACTATTGATGGAGCTGGTCAAATCAGAGGATGAAACTTCTATTAATAAGCTGTATGCATTAATTTTTTTTATTCAAAGCATGGGAAAAAGTGACAGCAACAACTATGTAGCTCTCTTCTTAATACTAAACTTCGTAATATGTAATGTAACACTTTGTACTATTTCTGTGAGTGAAGAAGTAGATATAGGGCCAGAGTTTGAAAGTAAAGATGACCTTCCATTAACTGAGTGGACTCATCAGTTCAGCATGCCACAAAATTTCACTGAAAATCTACAAGCCTACATAGTAATAGACAACAACCAGTCTACAACACCTGACTTACTGATGACAAAATTATGGATTCAGAGAGCAAATCTGACATACTACAACAACAACAAGATGAAGAAGGTGAGACAGATGATCCATAGCCTCCACCATTCCCCAAAATATAAATAAAATGCAATTAAAACACTGGTGTAGGAAAAAAGTCACTTAAAGATAACAATATTAATGTTTGTTGTTTTTAAATTTTATACTTTACTAGCTCGCCAGGCAGACGTTGTTCTGCCCTTTCCAACCACCCTTCCTATAAAAATCCTTAAATTCGCAATAAAAAATTTTAAGGGTCACTTATTAGGATAAAAACTATCCTATCTCTCAAGTTGGACTAAAATGCACACATTGTGCAAAATTTTATTGAAATTAGTTCAGTAGTTTAGGAGTCCATCGTGGACAAACAACGTGACACGTAATTTTTATAGTAGATTAGTAAATAATATTATGATAAGTAAAATAAATTTGATTTTTTTTTTCACCAATTAACAATAACTCTCAATAATGCCATAAATCGCACAATCCCTTAAGTAGCGACACTTAAGGGATTGTGCGATTTAGTCTACACTGAAGTTTAATTTGATCATTAATATTTCAAAAATTATAGTTAGTGTCAAATAACCCATTATCATAACCGTGAAATGAAACACATTTGTCTAGTATGCGCCACCGTCTATTTTGTTCTATCAATCTACTCAATAAAATCAAGAGATAAAAAAAAAGAAGAAGGGTATCTTCTCTAGGAAAACTTTTACATTAGAAAATTATTATGGATGATATTAGTTCTATCACATAAAAAATTAAGCAATAAATTAATTCATTAATATAAAACACACTTCACTTAGTAGATGTTGTTAAAATGTTCAATTACCATATCATTTCACCCAGATAATATGTAGCACAGTATGATATGCATGAGATGTTATATAGCTTAATTGGAGCAAATCCTAACACGGCGAAAAATTAAACAACAGAAGTATTTAATCACATAAATACACACACATTTAATTATACATAATATATAATATTTATATTAAAAGAAAACGGAACTGTAAATTGGAGGTCACGTCTTGACATTTTCTCGTTTAGTCTCGATTGCAAGTGAAGGGCACTAATTATTTTACCTAAATCTTTTTAAAACGCACATACTATTAAGGTAACTTATTTACCTTCTATTATGGAGTTTTGTGGTCTTCTAGCAACGATTGCCTTTTGTTTGGATTCAGACGTCATTAGTAATCAACACTACACATATTGTTTCACCTACACACACATCTCATCGATTTTCTTTTTAATAAGACACTAATGAAAAATAACTAATAACTATTCCGACACTACGCGCAAATTATCACTAAATAATAAACACTATGCGGATTATCAAATAGATTGTCTTAGTTCAATCTCAAAATATTTTTCACCAAGGCAGTCGACTCGATTGTAGACACAGATTGTAGACGTGATCAAATACCATAGATAAATAAATATGTAGCAATTTTTTTTTTACAACTGACTTTACGGCTCTGGGTTCTAGCCCTTCTGAGCCTGAAGTTACAATTACAATGTATAATGGATGCCATACACGATCAAGTCTACCGTCAAGTATGCAGCGCGCTTGAAGCGGCGTCCGGTAAACTTGACGGTGTATGGCTATGGGTGTGCATGACAAGTCTACTTGAAGCAAAAATTGAATTTCGATTCTGCCGACTTGATCAAGCTTGCAGCGTCATGTAAACTTGAACGTGTGTATGAGCCGTCAAGTATGCATGACGTTAGTCTGCTTCGGTAAGCGAAGACGCGCGCACGCGGTATATAGTAGAATACACCAAAGTGTTATGCAATGTTTTTTTTTTATTTTGTTAAAAAACGTTACCTACACACTAGGATTTTCTCTTGTATCGTGGAAGCAGTTAACAAACATAAATTGCACGAGGACAAACCTCTACACATATACAAATACAAATATTTGTTCCGTGCGGGATTCGAACCCGCGTCCCCAGCATTGCAGCTCATTGCTAAAAAACTTTATTGTTCAATGTGAGGAAGGTTAATATGCAACATCGAGGAAAATTAATATTATAACAACGTGAACGTCTTTGAAACTCAGATAATTTACCTACTTACCATTTTAACCTACTTTAAAAAAGGAGGAGGTACTCAATTCGACTGGTGTTTTAATGTGTGTAACCTCAGAACTTTTTTCTAGGTGAATCGATTCTGATGATTCTATTTTATTTGAAAGCTTGTGCTTATAATTTAAACATCACATATAAATTTCATCATGATCTGACTAGTACTTTTAGTATTGAAGTCGGTTGTACAAAAATTTTAATTTCATTATATGTCTCTCTTCCTCTCTTTTAAATAAACGTTACTTCCACACTTTTCTTCTGTATCGCAGGGACAGTTTCATACATAGAACAGACTCAGAACAATTATTTGTAGGTCATACAAATACTTGTTACGTCCGGGATTCGAACCCGCGGCTCTTAGCGCTGCAACTCATTACTTAACTTAATAAATGAGAATCTCAATGATGTAGTGTTTGAACTAATATCCAGCCAATTGCAGTTGCCTGAGGTAAAAAAAGATTGTTTGAAGGTCTGTCATCGATTGGGCACCTCACAAAATAAGACCCGACCTGTGCTAGTTAGATTTTATGATACTGAACACAGGCAGTTGATATGGGATAGTAAAACCGGACTTAAGGGCTCCGGTATAACCATCTCCGAGTTTTTGACCAAGACTAGGCATCAAGCATTCACTTCAGCGCGTAAACATTTTGGCATAAAACATTGCTGGTCGTCCGAAGGCAAAATAATAATAAGTCTTCCCGATAAATCTCGAAGAAAAATTGAAAGTATGGCAGAATTAGAACTGCTCACAGCTAAATATCCGTCCAGTTCAGATGTAAGCAATGCACCACAAACTGAAACAATGGCATCTCATAAAAAATATTCGACGAACAGTGCAAGCGTTCCTAAGAAAACACGCCGGTGTTAATATTGCTTTTGTGTAGTTATATATTACATTTATACAATTTCCCATATTTCGCCGTATCATCTATAATGTTTCATGTCGGTAATCAAAACTTTTGTTTGTACTATAATTAACCAATATAGTTTTCTTTGTAGGTACATTATCATTCGTATTACACTGCTTGCAAAAGATCACCTTACACTTTAATAAGTATGTACTTTGAATACATTCATAGCTTAAACGTTTGACATCAAGTAATATAAAGGTATTCTGCGACATTGGCGTTCAACACAAATGAACACATTTGTGTCGGTGTCGTGGAATATTCTTGTTTTTATTTTATTTTATCAAATATATGTGTCATTCCGTTACAGCATTTTTAGAAAGTGATAATAGATATTGTTTATTGCACGAAACACAAAGTATCTTGATTTTAAGAACTAATATTTTATTTATATTAAAGTGATTGTATTACATACATGGGTTTGACATTTCATTTTTTGTACTATCTATAAAATATAATATTACTTTAGTAGTATTGTTACTTTTATATATTGATTTGTACAGTACACTGTAGCCAGCTTTCTTTTTGTTTGCTTTTCTTTTTTTTCTATTTTAATCACACTAATTGTTTAATTACTAATGTTAGTTGTTAGTATAAATTTATTCCATCACGCCAGTGAGTAAGATGAGTTGCCCTTAATGTTAATTTTTATTTCTATATATAATATTGAATAAGTATAAGATAATTTATTTTTAATTTACTTACATATTATTTTATATTTTAGTAAATTTCTGTTTTTAAATATTTTTATTAGTATTGTACCTTTTTTTTAAATATGTATACAGATATCGATACAGATAATAATGATAGCTTTTTCTCATGTTCGTCTTCTTCTAACAGCTTTTTAAGCCTGGACTCAGAGCCTTCCGTAGATCTTAACCTGCATGATTGTATTTCAACCCCTTTCTCTCAATATCCTGACAATCTTAATATAGCTCACATAAACGCACAAAGTATTCCTTGCCATTATTCTGACCTTCTCGCATCCATTGACAGTACTCATCTAGATGCTCTTCTAATTTCTGAGTCTTTTCTCAAGCCTTCCCTCCCTTCTATCCAATATTCATTACCTGGTTTCGTTCTTATTCGTAACGATAGGGTAGGCAAAGGTGGTGGAGGTGTTGCTATCTATTTACGTTCGGAAATACCTTACAGGGTTATTAGCGTATCTCCATCAACTTACTCGGAATCTGCGGAACATTTGTTCCTTGAAATCACACTTTACCATACAAGTTTTCCTTGGAGTATTGTATAGTCCTAACCTTAATATCAATTACTTTGATACATTAGATACACTTCTTAATAATTTCTGTCCTGTATATAGCCATGTAATCTTGATGGGGGATTTCAACACATGTATTATTAAAAATGATTTACGTACTTAAAAGGAATTTTTTAAAATTTACGTACTTTGAAAGGGACGAAGAGAGAACCAAGTGTGAAATATGGGTAAATCAGGAATGTCTAGAACAGGTAAATGAAATTGTATACTTGGGGAGTGCTTTTAGCCGGGATGGAAGATGTGATTTAGATGTGGACAGGCGTGTCGCTGCCGGGAACAAAGTCAATGGTGCCCTGACTGCGTTAGTCAAAAGGCAAGGCGTAGCGAAGAGTGCACGCCTTGCAATACATAACGCAGTGTTGGTACCGACTTTGTTATATGGCAGCGAAACCTGGGTATGCCAGAAGAAGCATAAAAGTAAGTTGAATGCAGTGGAGATGCGATCTCTTCGTAAAATGTGCGGCGTTACTATGGCCGACCGAAAGCGAAACGAAGAGATTCGCAATATGGCAGGTTTGAAAGATGACATTATCACAAAAATTGATAAGGGCGTGCTTCGGTGGTTTGGGCACGTTGAGCGAATGAGTGAAGACCGAATGGTGAAGAAAATATATAGCGCGAAAGTTAATATTAAAAGGTGTCGAGGTAGACCGAGAATAACTTTCGAAGACCATGTGAGCAAATTGCTCGAAGAGGGTAGGGTCAAGAGTACTCGGATACCTAGACGTGCATGTATGAAGAAGATAATGAATCTGAAAGAAGCGAAAGAGATATGTAAGGATCGTGACACTTGGCGATCTGTTCTCTCTGGCTACCCCGTCAGGGATTGTGCGTGAAGATAAGTAAGTATTTACGTACTTATAAATTGAAATCTCTCATGTCATCTTATAAACTAGAAATCTTGCCTTTATCTGCCACCCATCACTTTCCCAATTGTACTGCATCTCTTCTAGATCGGATTATTGTGTCATCTTTAAATAGTGTTGCTAACCACGGACAAATATGTGCCTCATTTTCATATCACAATCTCATTTACTTATCTTACCGTGTACGTCCCCCTAAGCGCAAGCCACATTTTCGATATCTTAGAAGTTATAATGGCATTAACTTGGAGACGTTGAGGAGCGATGCTAGTTTAATTGACTGGTCACCGGTTATTGAATGTCCTAACATTGAGGACAAAGTGATTAACTTCAATTCTCTAATTTTAGATTTATATAATCACCATGCACCAGTAAAACGTGTGAAAATAAGGCACAACCCTGCACCGTGGATCACAGCTGATATAAAAGACCTGATGGCACGTAGAGATAAAGCTAAAAGAAGGTATAAGCGATATCCCCTTGAACGCAATTTAATCAGCTTTAAAATACTACGAAATCACTGCAATCGTTTGTGTAGAGATGCTAAAAGGCGCTATTTTCATGATACCCTCACAAGTTGCGATACAGCAAAAGCATGGAATTTTCTGAGATCTGTCGGTGTCGGAAAATATGCTGCTAGTGTGGGAATTGAAATTAACTTGGATAGTCTCAACGAACATTTTGCCAACCCTCCTGTAATAGTTTCATCATTTACCAACGCCAGAACCCTACTTGAATTATCCAAATGCCCAATACGTCATTATTCCTCATTTAATTTCACTTCTCTTACTGAAGATGATTCTATGCGATCCGTCCTTGCAATTTCATCTACTGCTATGGGAAATGATAACATCTGCTCTAAAATGATTACGTTGATTCTTCCCTTTCTGCTCCCTATTCTTACTCATATCTTTAATTTCTCTTTATCTTCTTGTTGCTTTCCGTCGTCATGGAAGTTAGCTCATATTATTCCTATACCCAAAGTTTCAAATCCTTCATCTGCAACACATTACCGTACCGCCCTATTTCCATTTTACCATTTCTTTCTAAGGTACTTGAACATATTGTCCACACACAATTGACCAAGTTTCTTAACCGTAACAATATCTTAAGTACTTTTCAATCCGGTTTTAAGCCTGGTCACAGTACAACTAGTGCTCTCCTCAAGGTAACGGATGATATCCGGTGCGGTATAGACCAAAAATATTTAACGGTACTTGTGCTGCTAGATTTTAGTAGTGCCTTCAATTTTATTGATTTTGATATACTTCTTAGCATTATTCATTCTATTAATGTGTCTCCTTCAACTATTCAATGGTTTGATTCCTACCTCCGTGGCCGCTCTCAGTGTATTCGTATCAATGAAACTTTATCCAAGTGGTGCAATCTAGCCACGGGTGTACCTCAAGGTGGCGTCCTTTCTCCTTTACTCTTTTCCATCTTTATCAACTGTATCACCCAGGTGATATCTTCAAACTTCCATCTCTATGTAGACGATTTGCAGCTGTATCGTCATTTTCTAGTGACTGAAGCAAATTCAGCATTACTTGAAATAAATAACGATCTAAATAAAATCGATGAGTGGTCTAGATCATACGGACTTGTTATAAACCCTAAAAAATCACAAGCAATGATTATAGGCACCAGGTTTACTCGTAAATTACTTGACTTTTCTTCACTGCCAACAAGCATTTCAGAAACGGTTAAGAATCTGGGCATCATCATGGATTGCAAGTTGACATGGAATGCACATATCACAGAAATTAGCAGGAAAATATATTATACTTTTTATTCCTTAAAATGCCTTCAACATTTTCTGCCGTTATCAACGAAGATTTCTCTTGTTCAAACACTTATTTTCCCGATTCTTGACTATGCTGATGTCTGTTATTTGGATGCGACTGAGGAGCAATTAAACAAACTTGAGCGCTTGCAAAACTTATGTATTCGTTATATTTTCGGACTAAAAAAGTATGACCACGTCTCCTCCTATCGCAAACAGCTCAAGTGGCTCCCAATCCGACTTCGCACGAATACCCGAATCCTATGCCTCCTCTTTAACATACTATACAATCCAACATCACCACCCTATCTACGTGATCGATTCCACTTTGCACACTCCCCCGATGCAGTTTGCAGATCACATTTAAAAACCCTCCTAAATTCCCCTTCCTCTAAAACTAAGTCCTATTCTCACTCTTTTACAGTACATGCAGTTAGGTTATGGAATTCTCTTCCTGCTGCAATTCGAGAGGCTCAATCAGTGTCCGTGTTCAAAAGGCGAGTCAAAGAGCACTATCTTTCTTTGTCGTCCCAATGATTATATATATAATATATTATTATATTTATATATGTAATATATATATATATATATATATATATATATATATATATATATATATATATATGTATGTGTGTATATGTATTTATAGTGGTATTTAGTTATATGTATGTTTACATGGATATTTGTTTTTATTATCTTTACTTTATGTTAAGTATATTAATATTATAAAATTTTATTATGAGAGTGCACACTAGATCAGCTTCTCTTTTAATTTGTCCAGTATCAGGCCTGCTGGAAGAAATTTCAATATGAAATAAGCAGTGCCTTTGTACAAAATATCTTTTTTTTTTCTCTTCCTTGTAACATTATTTTGTGTGTACATAAATTGTTAAATAAATAAATAAGCCACTGCGCCACGGAGCCGTCACATTTTTGCTCTTTACTATTGAGATAATATTTTTCGGTTCATTAACCAGTTTTTGCAAAGTAATTGCGAGCAATAAGCCGAGGATGCCTAACGCATCGTCGTCCCTCACTAGTGACGCCATGGTTTCAACCAGTTTCAACTGATGCGGCATCATGCAAACTTGACGGCGAACTTGAACGTGTGTGGCCTATATGGATGCACTGCAAACTTGACGTCGCTTCAAGCGCGCTGCAAACTTGACGTTAAACTTGATCGTGTATGGCATCCATAATGAGGGCTCCACGACTTTTTCTGCACCAGGGCGGCGCCACTTTACAGTGAGGTAAAATAATTGACGGATTTCACAGCGGGAACGATAATTTCTTTAAAAAACTGTAATCTTTAAGTTTTTTTGTGTTATTAGTTATATTTTATGTTAATTACATTAGAAATGAATAAGCCAAACTATAAATATAACTCAAAGTCGACTTTTTTCAAAAAGTGTTATAAAGTGAAAAAATTAAAAATCAAAGCACTGACGCATTGTGTTGTGTATTAATATAATACTCTAGATTAGTGATGCACAGACTTATTAAAGCTAGGGGCCACTCGGGCTAATTATGAACTGATGGCGGGCCGCGAGAAGTATAGGTAATTAAAGACAATAAAGAATTGTTAATAATGTATTAAAATTGAAAAAGAATGTATTAATTTGAAGCGTGGCACTGCATAGTGCTTAGAATCTTTTTTATATTTGGCTCAAATTTACTTGTAGCAACACGTAAAACTGCTTCCAAACTTTCATTTGCAAGGCGGTTTCGATTTTTTGTTTTATTATAATTTAGTATTGAAAAGGTTTGTTCACATATATAGGTAGACCCAAATAAGCTGGCACATTTTAGAGCGTTTATGCGCAACTCTTTGTACGTATTTTTATCAATGCAGCGGTAAAAGTTCAGCAAGTCTCCTTAGTTGAATTTGTTGCGTAAATCTTGGTCGTTTTGAATGTCGATAATTTCTTACTGCATTGACTCTGGCGCATTTTCAACTGAAATCGTGAAAGGATTGCTGAATATGTCCAACAGAGGTTTCACTTTTTCAAAGTCCGAAAATCTGTCTTGAAAAAATTGAATCAAAATATCTAGGTTTTCTACATAACTGAAATTAATCGCAGTTTTGTTGAATTTTTCAGCCATTTTCTTATAATTCGGAAAATGATTGTAATTTCCAGAATTCAATTGCGATCTGAAAAGTGTCAGCTTGCATTGAAAGGATGATACATGAGCGTAGAGCTGGGATATCAGTTGATTTTTGCCTTGAAGCCGTGTGTTCAAGACATTCAAAAGAATTGTAATATCAACTAAAAAAGCCAAATCACACAACCAATCAGGATTTTTAAGTTCCGGGACATCCCTTTGCTTTTCCGCCAGAAATATTCCAATTTCTTCTATTAAATTTAGAAATCGTTCCAGTGTCAATCTACGACTTAGCCACCTTACTTCTGTATAATACAGTGAATCTCCATATTCGCTTTCGATGTCATCAAGGAATTGTTTGAATTGCCTGTGATTGAGTCCTCGTGATTTTATGAAATTTACAGTCGAAACTATAGCTCGATTCAAACTTAATGGCGGTTCGGAAGTTAGCTGCGAGTGCAGGTGCGCGCAGGTACAGTCAAGTTGACAAAAATTTGGGCTCAATTTAATTATTTTAATAACTGAAAGTTTTGTGTTTTAAGTTCTGTACATATGTACATAAATGTCAGTTAGCAAGTATGAGGAGGGTTCAAGGAAGAAAAATACAGATGAATTAAGAACCTCATCCTTTTTTGAAGTCGGTTAAAAATAAAACAGATTTTATAAATAATATATAAAGTTTTTATTTTCATTTTAAGTTAAGGGCTGTATCCCTTCCATAAAAACGTCTTTGCTTGTGGAAGGAGCTGCCATGGAAACATCACTTCCTTCGTCTTCGCTGGAATCTGATTCCTCCTCAGACTCGGTATCTGATTCATCGTCGCTGACATGGATTATAAATTCGTCCGTCAATCTATCAACGACAACGTCACTTTTTTTGTACTCTTCCTCTATCTTGATCACTTTTCGGCACAATGCCCCCCATTCATTTTCCCCCATTTCGTAAACTTTTTGCTGGACCAATTCCATGACTGAATTTACGTTCCTGTTAACGTTTTTTTTGCGACGTATTGTTTTATTGCTGCCCATGCCATCTCGATGGGGTTTAAATCGGGGTGGTAAGGGGGGAGGCGTAAAACTAAGTGGTTATTCTCTTTCAATATTTTATCGATGTTAAATTTTTTGAAGCGTTCTTTATTCTTCGCAATTAACTTGTATAGTTGTGGCTTCAGCATTGTTTCCTCAAATTCAATATTTTTTTCACGAAGCCATGATTGCATGTCTGCTTTTCTTGAGTTTGAGGTAGGTGAAATATCTTCTTATTTGTTGTGATAAGAAGCATTATCTACAACAACGACTGAATTTGCTGGCAAATTTGGAACGAGTTGATTCTTGATCCATTTTTCATAATTTTCATAATTCATGTTATCATGATAGTCGCCGGTTTTTGTACCCGCCTTAAACATTAAAAGTGCGTTGGGTACAAAACCGACTTCAGAACCCGCGTGCACTATTACAACTCTTTGACCCTTCGAAATTTTCTTTTTAACTCCCATTTGTGACCCATCTCCCCAAGCCTTTGACATGCTGTGGGAAGAATCGACATAAGACTCGTCGGTATATATAATGGGTCTGCCTTCCGAGCGATATTTTGTAATACTATGCAGATATTCAATGCGCTGTAAACGAATATTAGACTGCTCTATTAATACTTTTCTCTCATTTTGGGTGTTCTTCCATTGAAACCCTAATTGTTTCAATATTCGGCCTAAGCTGGTTACAGAACCGTTGAAATTTATGTCGTCTTTTAATTTTCTTTGTAATTGTTTAAGTGTTGGCAACTCTTTTTCAGTCACGTGAAAGTTGTGCACGCACCTTTTGATGACACCTTGGTCGAAGCTGTCAATATTCGTCACTCTCTTGACTCCCTTCCTTTTTTTGCCAGGAGTACGAAAGACGGCTAGCATCTCCGACTCATTTGCTGTTGCAGCTATTCTTTGTACAGTCCTTAGTGAGACGCCTGTAGCTGCTGCGGCACGTTTTTGAACGAGCTTCAGAGGAATTTGGACGCCGTCTTCACTCTCCTTTTTCATAAATTGCAAAACATTATACACCATTTTTCTGGCTTGCCTGCGTAAAACGTTGTATCGTCCGCGTGGCATATTTAAACAAAATAATAAAAGTACTTTCCCACAACCAACAACAGTCTAAAACTTAATGTGTGTAACACACAGATGAAAACAAAACAGTCAATAACAATAAAAACTTAACGGAACAAAAACAAACAAAAAAACGTAACAAAACAATTAACAAACAGTAACAAATTATGGGCTCAACTGTACGTAAGCAGGAGTGAACGTAACTCAAACACTATAAGCAAACGCGTCGCGTGAGTGCGTATGAGACAGAATGCGCGCGGCAGCGCGCGCGGGGATGTGCCCCGCCACCACGTCCCTCTACATCCCGCTGATACCCAAAAATTGTGTTCTGCGCATCGGAACGTACGATGTTCCGAGCCGCCATTAAGTTTGAATGTATGTATACCACTTTCATGATATTTTGAAATTCAATTTTTTTAGAACAGAGGGCTTCTTGGTGTATAATGCAGTGAAACTGCATGAGATCTTCAGCGTTTATGTTTTTTTCTTGCAGATGCTTTTTCAGCAAAGTAACTAGCCCAGAATTGACACCAATCATCGAAGGAGCACCGTCAGTCGCAACTCCCGATAATTTTGATAAGTCCAAATCAGTTTTTGAACACTCATCCAAAAGTACATTGAGTATATCAACTCCTCTGGTTTGACCTTTCAATGAACACATTCCTAATAACTCTTATAAGACTTCAAAATCTTGAGTAACACCTCGTATGAATATCAGAAGTTGAGCTGTGGAACTCATATCAGTGGATTCGTCGAGTGCTAATGAAAAAAATTCAATGATCTTAGTTTTTTCATTTAATTGTTCCGCAATATTACCTGACAAAGATATAATTCGTCTTTGGATAGTCATACGATTCAGTTGAATTTTCTCAAACTTTTTTGCTGCTTCTGGACACATTTTCTTAGCGGCAATTTCTATGTATTCTTTTACAAAATCTCATCTTCAATAGCAGCCAGCTGACAGTTGGCGATGGTAAGAAAACTGCAGACTTATGGGGGATTTCCGTTAAAGTTATTTTATCTATAATAGATATAATAGCACCATATCTAGACACTATATTTAATACAAGCGTCGAATCTGGTGTGTTTCCTGATTTAATGAAACATATCTGGTAGTACATTAGACCCCGCAAATTTTAGACCAATTTCTGTACTACCAACGTTTACTAAAAAATTTGTAAAATAATTTTGGATCAGATGTTAAGTTTCTTTAATATTAATAAATTGCTACATAAAAATCAATACGGTTTTACAAGGGGCGCTCGACAACTGACGCTGGAGTTGAGCTTATTAAACATATTTTTTTTTGTGCATGGGAGAATTCAGAGGATGCTTTGGGTATATTTTGTGACCTTTCTAAGGCCTTCGACTGCGTTCACCATGAGCCATTAATCAGCTACAGTACTATGGTGTCAAGAACACAGCGCTTAAACTCATTATTTCATATTTAAGTAAAGTAATAGAATGCAGAAAGTTATTATCAATGGTAAAAGTTCTTCCGGGTCACCTGTACTAATGGGTGTCCCTCAGGGCTCCATTCTCGGCCCATTCCTATTTCTTGTGTATATTAATGACTTACCTTCTCTTGTAGGGGATAATCATGATATAGTATTATTTGCTGATGATACTTCCTTGATTTATAAACTTAAACGTCAGTCATTTAAATGTGACGAAGTGATTAATGCTATATCAAAATTAGTGCATTGGTTTAACGTTAATAATCTACATTTAAACGGAAATAAAACTAAAAATATTAAATTTACAACAACGAATGTTAAAAATCTGAGTACCAATGTGTTTTTAAATGGGAAAGAACTGAGCCCTGTTGAATCCACTGTTTTTCTTGGCATCACTCTCGACGCAAAACTCCAGTGGGGCCCCCTATATGTCCAAACTAGCAAGCAGACTAAGTTCTGCAGCCTATGCTGTAAAAAAGATCAGAGGTCTCACTAGTGTCGAGACAGCTAGATTAGTTTATTTCCGTTATTTCCATAGCATAATGTCTTATGGGATTTTGCTATGGGGAAATGCGGCTGATTTTGAAACTATTTTTGTTTTACAGAAGAGGGCCATTAGAGCTATTTACAACCTAAAACCGAGAGAGTCTCTTAGAGATAAATTTAAAGAAATAAATATATTAACTTTGGCCTCTCAGTATATTTACGAAAAATTAATGTATGTTCACAAAAACAAAGGTAGTTTTAGTAAAAAAAAGTGATGTACATTCTGTAAACACTAGGAACTAACACAAGCTAGTGATACCAGTTTCTCGACTCCACAGAGTCAGTAATTCATTCATGGGGGCAATGTATACGCTATTACAACAGGGTCCCGGAAAGTGTACAGGCTCTCTCTATTACCAAGTTTAAATGTTTTGTTAAGTTGAAACTGTATAAAAAGGGTTATTATAGTATAAACGAATACATGGTTGATAATAACCCCTGGGAATGAGGTGGTCACTTCCAAACTGTTTCAAAAATAAATTTTGTATCTACCAATCATTAATGTAAAATATGATTTTAAAAAAAAAGTCCTGCTGGTTTTCTTGCTGGTTCTTCCCAGGACAGAGGTTTTTTTTTCGAACCAGTGGTAAAGTAAAAAATCACTTTCAATAAGAATTACACATGTGATCTATATTGATTAAAAAATTATTTTATTCTATTCTATCTCACGGCGCCTAAGCAGACAGATATTATATTGGCGCATGCTACACACTCGATAATTATTACGATATTTGGATCATAATCTAGGATTACGATATTTATCGAGTGTGTAGTATAACATATCACGGATCGTGATACGGATTGCTGGATTTCTAAAAATCTAGAAATCCAACGATCTGTATCCAGTGCCGTCGATAAATATCGAGTGTCTAGTCTCTGGTCCATATTTATCGTGTTAGTATTCATTGTCAGCGATGGAAGAGGACGCGCTTCTTGATGCGGTAGCGGCGCATGCCAGCCTCAAACGAATGACCAAAAAAATCTTGAAAGAATTCACATGGGAGAAACGTGTAAAGACAAAAAAATGTATGGAGCCAATGCTTCATCCACATTTTTCTCTTTTCACGTCTTTTTAATGCTATCGCTAATATAAACGCAATGCAAGTTTTACTTTTATAGTCACTCATTACGTTACTAGCTTCGGATTATGTAACGTACACTTCTTTAGTGAATGAAATCTACCATTGTACTGACGCGATTAGTATCGAGTGTGTAGTATGCAGATTCGTTCCAAAATATTGCAAGATAAAAATCACATTAAATATCGTAATAAGTATCGAGTGTGTAGCATGCGCCTTTGAGAATCAAATCACCATCAGAGCACTTGTTTTACCGTTTCCACTAATAGGTCACATGCGCATATACTTAATACACAAAATCGCACCACTTTTGCATATCAAAATCCACCTCGAACGATTATTTAAACGATAATACAGGAGAAGCAATCCACTGCCGGTCAAGTTCCCGCCAAAACCCCAATATGTAGCAAATAAATTATTAATCTATAATATAAAAATTAATCGCTGAATGTGTTGCTAAGCGCAAATCTCGAGAGCAGCTGAACCGATTTCGCTAATTCTTTATTTATAATATACCTTGAAGTACGAAGATGGTTCTTACGGAGAAAAATTTTTTATTAAAATTGCCTGAAAAAGTCTAAAAACAACACTTTTCTATATTCCCATACAAAAGATTCGTAATAATACTTAAAAGTCAATTTAAACTAATACCATACCATAAAGTTTAAGTGTTAGTGGAGGGGTTCCAGGAAGGCAAAACAATTGAGTGACGTTAGTATCGTATGAACAGTAAATTCCACGCGGGCGAAATCGCGGGGCACAGCTAGTCATAGATAAATAAATATCTAAGTCATTAATAATCTATGGTCGTGACGATGACGACTGCACATAGATAGATACACACAAAGAGTATAGTAACTGACCTATACAAGAATATCCTATACAGGATACACAACTAACCACAAACAACACGACCACAAAACAACTATTATAGAAACATCCACGCGTAGTCCAATTGTTAGTTTATTGTTTTAATTGCCATGTGTGAGTTTGGTAGTGACAGGTGATTGTATTTGTATACGTCAGTATACGTAAATTGCCCCCGTAAATTGGAAATAAAACGCTTGTGCTAGAGTGCGCGCAAGATAACCAATATAGTTTGTGAAGATAACTCTTCGCGCGACTGATGGCGTACTTAATGTTGCCAACTTAACTAATATTTTTCTTTCTTAACAGTACGTACTTGTATAGAATGGACACTTATTGCTAATTCCCACCGTCATGCTATTATTTGCTAGTACTTCATTTCAAATTACCGACTGGCGAATAATAAATCGATTACAAAGCTTAGTTTAAAAAACGGCCATATTCAGCTTAAATTTACAAAGACCTAATAACTTTTTTAACCTCTATATTTATTGTTTAAGATCCGCATAGTAAATATATTTCTTAATTGTAACTTTCGTAAGTTTGACACATATTTATATTTTATATTATTCTATGGTAAGACTTATGTTAATATATGTATGATATAGGTTCAAAGTAATTTCCAAGCGATTATGAGACAAATAATATTTAAGTACTACAAAACACGCTTCACTTTAATTTTTGGTATTTTTCTCAGGAAACCCTTTCATTTGATACACATATCATGGGTAAGCATTAAAAATAACCAGTCCTCCATTTTCAGGAGTCCGCCATATTGGATTTAGAATGACTTCATTTATCTAACCATGCATTGTCATCCAAACTAAACCTTTATGCAAAATTTCACTTCGATCAAAACCGAGAAGTTTGTCAAATTTAACTTTAATTTTTTTTTATTCCACTTAACTTCAAAAATACGTGTTTCAAAGTCTTGTAAGGGATTTCGGTTGCTGTTCAATCCTGGATAAGCGCTTACTGACATCGTTAATTCTTTTATCTAAATATACGTATTTGTCACTGATAAATTTAAGCGTGGTTTTAACTTCATCGAAGTCATTAGGAAATTTATTAAATTTTGTTTCTTGTTTTGAGAACCAGGAATGAAGCTTGATAGGTTTAAGATCTTTTTGTAAATCGAAATTTGCGGGAAGCACGCTACCTTTCTGAAATGTTTCATAAAGAGGAGGCGACTCATTTGCAATAAACGATTTGTCTTACGTAAATATACTGTTAACAATTGTCATGCTTATATCTTGAACGCTTTGTTGTTGACATTAATCTGTCTAAAATCTCCTCGATGCGCTTTACTGTGAGTTTGGATTGACAAAATATTCACATAAAACATGTTTAAAACCATAGACTTAGAATATACTGGCCTGTAGACGACCTGAAAGCCCGAAATCGCGTGACTGATTTTGATTTGTCTTTGTGTGCGTTAGGTAGTGATGTGCATTTTACTTACAAGGACTATCGAAAAATGATTGTTAAGAAAGCGGTAAAAAGATTTAAAAAAAATTGTTTAGTGCACGAAATTGAATAACTTCAAAAATTAACTGAATTTTTACCATGATAGTTCTAAAATAATTAAAAAATATTCATATAACCTGTTCCTGGGAATAAGCTGAACTTACCTGCCTTTTGTTGGATTTTAATTCAAATGTAAAAATCCCAGGTGACTTTACCGATAAACTTTAAAAAAAACTCCCTAAGAATCAGATCAAAAAGTTGTATTTTCGAAATATGATCTTTAGAGAAAGCATAATGTCGTCGGCCATTAAGCATGAATCGGGCATATAGCGTTGTGAGTATCAAATGCTATGGAATTTATACTATCATGTACGTGGTAGAGCCATGCTGCAGTTATATTAATAGTATAGTTGTAGCACGAATGGGTCGGCTCGACCGGGGAAGGACCACCCTCTCACAGAATACCAGCATAAAATAGCCTAATGCTGCTGTGTTTCGTGTGGTGAGTGTAGAGAATCGGAGACCCATTTTACTGGAAAAGAGGCATTCTATCTTAGTCCTCACGGGTGACAACGCATCTGCATTTTAATTCGCAAACGAAGATAGATGTAGATGTTTATGGGCCGCAGCAACCACTTACCATCAGGTGGACTGTGTGCTCGTTTGTCACCCTTATTCTATAAAATAAAATGTCTCGTGTCGGGCGTCTAGTGGCGCTTCAGGAGCATTACTAAATATCTATACTTAACAACACTAAAAGTTTTATCATTGTGACTTGGGAATATAATCCGAAGCTCCACTCAACCCCTTGCGGAAAATAGCGTGATGATATGAATATTGTACTAATGCGACCGTGAGGCTGTGCGGTTGGTTAAGTAGGGTTATACATTTATTTTGGTTGATAAGTAGATACTTAGTTGGGTTCATAATGGCTAAAGATCTCGATTTTTTATCTTTAATGTACTATAGTCTTATAATGTGTAAAAATCTGTCTCAATTTTTGTCTAAAGTTTTGAAAGTTAAATTTTGGATTAATTGCACAATATTGTTATGATAAGACATAACAATATTGTACAATTATTGTTACAAATAATGTAGAAATGACTCCTTTTAAAATTGTTTTTATTCTACTTTTTGTTTTATACTTCTCAAGAAAATGTTTGCTGCAAATTGTTGAGTTCTTTGGATAATGACTGTGTGTAGAAAAAAGACCCATACCAACCGATATTTAAATGATGAATCGCACCATCATCCATCACAGTTAGCTACCGTAGGAAAATCTTTGTTTCAGAGAGCACGAGGGATCTGTGACAGAAAACATCTGGCCGCCGAGCTTCAGCACGTCGAGCAAGTATTGTTAGATAAAAAGCTTTGGGTCCCGCGCCTACGTAACAGTGATAGCCGGCCACAGTTGAGCGTGAGCCTGCTGTACTACCCTATGTCAGAGGAGTCACAGACAAGTTTGGCTACATCTTGAAGCGAGCTTCCATTAAAACATACTTCAAGCCGCCGAAGAAGAGTCAGTTTTTACCATCAATCAAGTGTAATATTCCTTAATATTGTTTCGTGAAGACTGCTACATAGCTTGTTTTGTTGTCAAATACAAGAACTGACTATGACTAAGATTAAAATCAAATACACATAAGTATGTGATACATACTAAATATACCTTTTAATGTCATCCTACATACTAAGTTTGGTTATTATGGTTATCCCAACCCGCCAAAGAGCTAGATAAAAAAACAAATTTATAAAAAAGTAATTTGTAACAAATCATTTACTCTGTTTCGTACTGCTAACTCGAGTTGCGTGAATTTCAACTCGAGTTAACTCGAGTTGTAATTTTTCCGAGTTGGCACATCTGTACGCATAGTCAACCAACTAGACATGTGCAAAACGGTACCCGAAGAAGTGATGCAACATCACACATCACTTTTGTTAGAGTGATATCACTTTGTGATATTACCATCACCCTAAACATCACTCGAGATTTTGGCATTACAGGCAACTGAGTACCGACAATAGTACTGGTATCTATCGATCACATTCGACGGACAACACTCGTATCACTTGAGAAGTAATGCAACAAAACAAGTTTTAAGTAATTATTGTGAATATCGTATCGAACATTCTTTTTGAGCAAATAAGTTAATATTACACTTTGTATTTATACTTCGTCTTTAATTAAATAGTTTTAAGATGAAAAAAAGTTTTAGTAATACAATACCTACTGTACGTAATAATTAATTACGACCACCAGTTAATTCCGAATTTACTATCTCTCGTAACTAACGTACGTACGCGTGCAATAACTATTTAGTAAAATACAACACTGACCGACTGACATCTGACCTGACTCAAACAAATCTAAATAAGCTAACCTATTATTACATTAAATCATTAATGCATAAAAATAATTACGGAGAAATGGTCCTTTGTATATTTATAATAAACAACCACAAGCGCGGGGCAGCGCGAAGCTCGCGCTGCCCGAACGACACCGATCGCGCGCGACGTTTTTCGTTTCATGGTTTCGGGCGCGTGATGTGAGTGATGTGTAATGGTTGGATTTGACGCGTAATGAGTAATGTTGCATCACTTCTCCGAGTAATATTACTCGTGTAATATTACACGCATTACTTACCCATGTCTACAACCAACCATAATTGTCCGTCCGCCCATAGACAATCAACAAACTATAACGAAAATGTCCGTCAATCCGTCATAAATGTTACGTTTTTATTTTATTGTGTGACTGTGTAACAATTGTGGCTAGCGATGTGAAATATTTAATCCATTTTACATTGAAACAAGTGCACAATATTGATAAAAATGATTGTTCAGGATCCTATTCAGGTAAGTAACGGAGAGATCAATCTAATAACTAGATGTCAAAATTTGTGCGTTATGTCCTTTTTATTATAATTATTTTTTGCAATATCTACAGGTTATCGTTTGGGATTGTCTTAATAATTATGAATACGACAATGCTATCTTTTTGGCTGAAAGACTACATGCTGAAGGTAATAATCACAAAGTTTATACCGTCAAATTATTTACTTTTGGGTTTTGGGTTGACAATCAATAAAATAAAGGGAACTATGTATTTGATTATAATTTTAAAGAATATGTGTTTTAAACAACAGCATTCAGTTATCGTTGATCTATTAAGTGTCCGTATCTTATTTGTAGTTTCATCAGAGGAAACAGCATTTTTGTTGGGAACTTGTTACTATAGAGCTGGACGAGTGAATGAAGCTCATCATTTATTACAAAGTTTATCACTGACTCTTCCTCAATCACGATTTCTCTTAGCAAAATGTTCAGTGGAAATAAAATCGTAAGTAATCTATTGTTCTTATTTTTGTTAACCATAATATCTTTATCAATATATTTCAGGGATTCCCAAACTATTTTCTGCAAAACACCCCTTTTCCAAAATGAACTGATACCTCAGACCCCCATTGCTAAATTACTTTAAAAATCCTATCTCTAGTTTTTTCCCTATTGATACATAATACTTACCTATTTATAAACTTTGTAGTTGGTTAAGTGATAAACTTGACATTATTTTCTCATCAAAATTTAACAAATTATATAGACCTAAAATTCAGTAAATATCAAGTGTAATTAATAATTAATTATTAATATAAATTATATAAAATAGTTAATTATATTTTTGAAAAAAATATTAAGTTCTTATGAGATGTTGGTACATGTAACACAATTTATACAATATCTTGAAAGTTTCAAATAAGAACATGTGTTAATTAATAGATGACGATTTTTGGACCTCATAGATTCCCAAAATCAGTTTTCATTTATGTCAACTCCTGGGAAACCTATTATGACCCCAAGGGGTTGATATCGACTACTTTCGGAATGTGGTATATTTCATATTTTGCTACTTATTATGTTTTTCAACATTAACCTGAGCTGTTATCAGGGAGATGCTGCTGCCCACCTCGTGTTTCAGTTGTTCTCTGTCTAAGCTTACACATATTTTTTGGTTACAGATACAGACAAGCGGAGATTGTGTTAGGTTCAAATTTAGACATAATAGCTTCTGAATTTGGTGAACAAGCTCCATATGCATTACAACTGCTTGCAAAAATTTATAACACTACTGAAAGAAGAAATAAAGCAGCTGATGCTTACCGGAAAGCACTATCTTTAAATCCATTTATGTGGAAATCTTTTTCACAGTTGTGCAATATGGGTGAAAAAGTTGATCCTCATCAAGTATTTAATAATAATAACTCTGACTTTTCTTTTGGTGTGTCAACTCTAGTAAACCTAGTCAGCAACTCTGAAAACATTTCGTTTGTTAACAGCAACATTCCTATTAACACTAGCTTGAACACTAATGTAACACCAAATAATATTACGTCTAAGACACCTATGACAATGTCCACAAGTATTACCCCTGAAACTCAGGCTCCAGTAAAACGTATGCATAGTGTATTCGGTGGGATGACACCCATTCCATTTTCACCATCTTTTGGTATGTTGCCAATGGATGAATCACCTGTATTATATACGCCAACACTTACGGATGCAAATGAGCAAAAAGCCATACCTAAAATTGTAAATTCACTTAGAGCACAAATGGGCCAGCTCAAAGATGCAGTGTTCAGTCCAGCACCTCGTTGCACTTTAGGCCCAGCACCAAGACGATCATCTAGGTTATTCAGTAATAATAATAGTAGCTATTCAGTTAAAGAGAATAATAAATCACCTAGTAGAAAATTTGTAGCACCTAAAAGTCCTTCAAGGAAAAACAAACAGAGAACTGCTAAAAATATTAAAACAAATTCTGTAGAAACAAATGAAAAAGCTAAAAGTATAGAGACTGTAACTCCAACAATTACCCCAAAGAATTCAACTGGTGTTGCTCTATTAAATTTAATGAAAGAATTAGGAGAGGCGTACAAGGCACTATCCTTCCTGGATTGTAAAAATGCTATAAAGCTATTTCAAGAATTACCAGCTAAACAGTTAGCTTCACCTTGGGTACAAACAATGATTGCTCGTGCTCACTATGAACTAGCTCAGTATGAAGCAGCTGCAAAGATATTTGCAGAAATACGCAAGCAGCATCCAAACCGTACAGAAGGTATGGACATTTACAGTACATGTTTATGGCATTTGCAACGTGAGGCACAGTTGTCTGCTTTAGCACAAGAATTAGTAGAATTAGACAGAAATGACTCTATTGCCTGGTTAGCTGCTGGTAATTGTTTCTCTCTTCATAAAGAACGTGAGACAGCACTTAAGTTTTTTAAACGTGCTGTACAAATCAATTCTGATGCTGCCTATGCACATGCTCTATTAGGACATGAATATGCAGTGGCTGAAGAAACAGACAAGGCCCTTGCAAGTTTCAGAACTGCAGTCAGCATTGATCCTCGTAATTATGTTGCATGGTTTGGTATAGCAACTGTATATGCTCGTCAAGAGCGTTGGAAAGCTTCAGAAGTACACATACGTCGTGCACTTGCAATACATCCTCATTCAGGCGTATTAAGATGTCAGCTAGGTCTAGCACAAGCAGCTTTAGGTAAAATGGACAGAGCATTAGCAACTTTAGAAAGGGCCGTTGCTTTAGATACAGAAAACCCACTATGTCGTTTTCATAGAGCCTCTGTATTATTGCGGGCTGGAAGACCTCAAGATGCATTAGAAGATCTACACCACTTAAAAGATATCGCACCTAGAGAGTCATTAGTATATTATTTACTTGGAAAAGTTTATAATAAGTTAGGCAATTCTCATTTAGCTTTAATGCACTTTAGCTGGGCTACAGATTTGGATCCCAAGGGCACTGGAGGTCACATTAAGGAAGGTTTTGATCCATCAAAGCAGGAAGATCCACCGGAGAGAGCAACTTAATTTTCTTGATAATATGAAGACTTGTGGAACTTGCATATTTGCTTACAGCAAAGATAGCGACGGAGTCAAATTTGACTGATCATGTAAATATCATGTTCACCTATTGAATTCTTGACTGACACCAAATTCTTCCAAATCTAACTTTAGAGGGTTTGATAGGTGTAACAGGCATTTAGTTGCTGTAGTAGTAAGAATGTGGATTTGTTTATATAGAGTAAGATGTGGATATTCCTAATGTTATTCTAGTATATAATTTTGTATAGCTAACTATAATTAGTCTTAACTTGAGTATGAATACACAGGAACCATTGAAAGACCCAAGAATAAGAAATTGATCTCAATGGGGTGTTCGAATTCTGATAATATAATTGAATGTTAGCCCATTAAAATCATTGATGATACAACTTATTATTCCATAGTAAATTTGTAACAATGTCGTATTATTTTTATGGAAGCTTTTCCCTCTCTACAAATCATATATAATATATGGGTACAATGAAATCAAGAAAAATGAATCCTAATTAGTGTAGACAAACCGCTGGCGGTGTTTATTGGAAACTATTTTTTTCAATCGTGTTTATAACTTATTATCTGAAATTATAACATTAAAGTAATGCATGCAGATTTTATACTGTGACAAAGGAAGGAGCACTGTTTTCTTCAGTTTTTTAATAGAACTAATTCTAATAAATATATTATGCAAAACTACCGTAGCATTGATGTTAATTATATACATAATGCCAGAAAATTAAGAAATAGTATGTTTATGTAATTATTTTCGTGTCGTTATGAATGTACAAACAAATTAACTGTAGCACCGTCTTTTCAAATCAATGAACTGCTAGCTCTGTGAAGACTTGTTTAGACCACAACTGTATGTGAACTTATAAAGATTATTCTACATTAAAAACTTGAGTTTTATTTAAAAGTATAAAATTAGATTTTTACCGAAGTTTGTGATAGGTATTCTTTTAGGGATGCGAAATTGTTCATTCATGTTGTCTTAAACATAGTGTATTGAAGTAGTTCCCCTGGCCGATTTCGACCATAGCGACACCTTCAGAATACTATCGAAAATTATAAACTGTGTAGGATATATTTTGTCGTGCGTATATAAAGGTACGTTCGCTGAGAACGAATACAATAATCGAACGCGACAACTTGCAATTCGGTTTTCATCATTCATCATCATTACAGCCCTTCACAAATCCACTGCTGAACATAGGCCTCACCCAAGGAATACCACAAAGCACGGCCCCGAGCCACTTGTATCCATCGTCTTCCTGCACGTCTTATTAGGTCGTCACTCCATCTAGTGGGGGGTCGCCCTACACTTAACCTACCGGTACGAGGCTGCCACTTGAGAACATTTTTTCAAAAGCCATAAAAAGTATATTAAGAGGGAAGTCACTGGGACATGACGGTCTTAGTATTGAGCACCTGAAGTACACCGGGCCACATATCACGAGGGTATTGGCGATGTTCTATTCGCTGTGCGAGAGCCATTCTTACTTGCCAGCCGATTTTATGAAGACAGTTGTAGTACCTGTAGTGAAAAACAAAACTGGTGATCTTACCGACAAAAGTAACTACAGGGTACAGGCCTATCTCCCTTGCCACTGTCATAGCAAAAGTTTTTGACGGTTTGCTTAATGTACAGTTAAACACGTAAAGCTGAATGATAACCAGTTCGGGTTTCGACCGCAGCTGTCGACAGAAAGTGCAATATTGTGTTTTAAGCATACCGTTAAATACTATACAAACCGCAAGACGCCCGTATACGCCTGTTTCCTGGACTTGTCTAGGGCTTTCGATTTAGTACGATACGACCGCTTATGGGATAAACTGAAAAGTATCAACTTACCCGAGGAACTCATCAACGTGTTCCAGTACTGGTATTCACACCAGTCTAACATCGTGCGTTGGGCGGGTGCAGTGTCGGATCCGTATCAGCTCGAATGTGGAGTCAGACAAGGTGGATTAACATATCCGACACTTTTCAATTTATATATGAACGATTTGATCGACGCTTTCAGCAGCCAGCGCATCGGCTGCCATATTTACGGCGTCTGTGTTAACAATCTGAGTTACGCTGACGACATGGTTTTGCTGAGTGCGTCGATCTGTGGCCTAAGGAAACTGATACGCATTTGTGAGGAGTATGCGAGTGGACACGGTCTAAAGTACAATGTAAAGAAAAGTAAATGCATGGTCTTTAAGGCAGGTACCAAGTGTCCCCAGGATTTATCACCAGTATTATTGAATAGTGTGCCCTTAGAGGTTGTCAATCAATTTAAGTACCTGGGACATCTAATCACTAATGACCTCAAGGACAATGCGGACATTGAGCGGGAGCGGAGAGCGTTGTCCGTTAGAGCTAACATGATAGCCCGCAGATTTGCACGATGCTCACAGGAGGTAAAAATTACTTTATTTAGAGCTTATTGTACATCACTCTATACATCCAGCCTGTGGGCAGACTATAATAAGCGAAGTTACAATGATCTCCGCATCCTGTACAATAACGCTTTTAGGGTGATCCTGGGGCTGCCCCGCTTCTGCAGTGCCTCTGGCATGTTTGCGGAGGCGCGCACTGCCTGCTTTCATGCGACCATGCGTAAGCGGTGTGCGTCAATGGTGCGCAGAGTGCGGGCCGGCTCCAATATTATCCTGAAAATGATAGGTGATAGATTGGACTGTCCTCTCCTCCGGCATTGCTGCGACATATATGTCCCAGTAATTGTGGGAGCGAAAGGATATTATAAATAATTATGTGTAATTTGTATTTATTGTATTCTAATTCTAATGTACGAGGGTGGATTGAAAAGTACTCGGCCTAACCAAGAAAATAAACAAATACTAAATCAGTTATATTTTTATTTTTCTACATAATCACCATCAAGTTCCAATACACTTTTGCCACTTCCCCTTCCAAGCATTTAGACCGTTGAAAAAAAATGATTCTTCCTTAGAGTCAAAATATGCGTCTACAGCTGCTTTGACCTCGTCGTTTGTCGAAAATCTTTGACCTCCCAAGTGCTTTTTTAGGTTAGGGTACAGAAAGAAGTCTGATGGTGCCAGATCAGGTGAATACGGCGGATGCGGTAACAGTTCAAAGCCACAGTTGTGAATTTCAGCCATTGACTGTACTGACGTGTGATCGCGTTCGCGTACTGGCGTTATCTTGATGAAACAGGACTTTTCTTCTGAGCATTCCTCGACGTTTTTCTTTTATTTCCTCTCGTAAACGACGTAGTAAGGTGCAGTAGTAATCAGAGTTTATATTCTGACCCCTTTCAAGATAATCAATCATAATCACACCTTTCGAGTCCCAGAATACTGAAGCCATCACCTTATTTGCCGACAAAATCGACTTAGCCTTTTTAGGGGGTGGTGAACCAGGTCTTCTCCACTGTTTTGATTGTTGTTTTGTTTCCGGTGTACAGTAATGAACCCATGTTTCGTCCATAGTAACAAAACGATTCAAAAAATCATCTGCATCGGCTTCAAATAACTCCAAACAGTCGCGTGAAATAGTCAATCGCGTCCTTTTTTGTTCAACTGAAAGCAGTCGCGGAACCCACCTCGCAGACACCTTGTGGAAACTCAACTCGTTGACAATGATGTTTTGAGTTCGTTCATAAGAGATGCCTATAATCTCGGCTATCTCTCTAATTTTTAATCTGCGGTCTCCCATTATTAAATCAAGTACTTTTTTTAATATTTTCGTCAGTAGTTGACGTCGAAGGCCTTCCAGAGCGGGGTTCATCTTTCACACTCTCTCTACCACGCTTAAATTCTGCTATCCATTTTTTGACGGATGAATATGACAGAGCACAATCGCCTAATGTACTGACCATGTCATCATGGATGGCTTTTGATGATAGCCCCTTCTTATGGAGGTACTTAATGACGGCACGCTGCTCGATTTGCTCCATTCGCGGAAATTATGTCCGATTACTTTGTTAATAAATTTATAAAATCACAACTAATTATCGCACACGTTTCGAACTTCACACAATGAACTAGTCTGAACTGAACTAAATAATGTGGGTAGATTTGATTTTTAGAATTGAATGGATCTGTGTTAGGCCGAGTACTTTTCAATCCACCCTCGTATTTTATTTGTATTTCAATGTATTTTAATAGTATTTTAATGACATATCATTATTTTTATTATCAATGAATCAATGATATGGATCTTATGTTATCTGAAATAAATTAATTTGAATTTGATTTTTTTCCCAACAGTTGTCGGTTCTTCAAGCTATATGGCCGGCCCATTGCCACTTCAGGTTACTAATCCGTTGGCCTATGTTGGTTACTCTGGTTCTACTACAGATATTCTCATTTCTAAGTTTATCACGCAAAGAAACCCCGAACATTAGCCATCTCCATAAGCTCGGTAAGCGACCATGAGTTTCCTCATACGCCCAGCTGTGGAATGACCACGTCTCAGATCCATAAGTTATCACTGGCAACACGCACTGGTTCTACAATCTTGTTTTCAAGTTTTGAGGTATACCTGACGAGAAGATGTCGTAATTTCCCGAAAGATGCTCAGCCGAGTTCAATCCGTCGATCGACCTCCCCGTCGAAGTTGGACTCACCTAGTCGGACTATTTGTCCCAGGTAAACATACATGTCAACAACTTCGAGCTTAGTGCTCCCACCAACAACCGGTATAGGTGTGACATGGATGTTACACATTATCTTTGTTTTGTCCATGTTCATCTTAAGACATATCCGTCGGGAAGCACTATTAAAATCATTGAGCATAGTGCTAGTCCTCCAGCAATTTTGCCATAAGGACTATATCATCGGCAAATCGAAGGTGAATGATGTACTCGCCATTGACATATACCGTATCCTTCCAGTCCAATGGCTTGAAAACTTCTTCCAATGCAGCGGTGAAGAGTTTCGGGGATATAACGTCAACCTTACACCTCTCTGCAGTTGTATAGGTTTCGTACTCTGGTTTTGCACTCGGATAGCCATCGTAGCCCTAGTGTACAAACACTTCAGCACTTCGATATACCGACAGTCAACTTGGCACCTCTGAAGGGACGGCAGAACCGCCCAAATTTCGATCGAATCAAAGGCATTCTCATAGTCCACATACGCAAGACGTAGTGGCTGATTGTACTCCTCGGTCCTCTGCCGAATTTGCCGCAGGGTATGTATGTGGTCTATGGTGCTAACCTTTTCGGAAACCGGCTTGTTCGGGAGACTGGAAGTCGTCGAGTCTGCGTGCGAGACGATCCGTAATGACTCGAAAACAGCCTTCTTCAAAAAAAGCGTTGTCGCCTTTCTTGAAGAGCAAGACCACCCCACGCCTCTGGAGAATTTCCTCCATGGAGGACGAAATTAAAGAGCTTCTGAAGGACTTCAAGTAGATGCCGGTTTTCCACCCCTTTTTCTGAAGCTCTGCTGGAATTCCATTCTCGCCCAGGGACTTTTCGTTTGGAGGTGCTGGAGAGCCATTCTAATATCGCTCTGACTGAAATCTGGAATAGTGTCGGATAAGACTTCCTCTCGGATCGTTACTCACACTTGCGTGTGGCTCCTACGATAATGTGTACAGCTGCCCATAGAACCTCTCAATCTCACTCAAAATCTCAGGTGTCCCGGAAACGATGCTGCCAATTTCGAGCTTCAGATTCGACAGTTGGCTCTTTCTGGCAGACAGATCTCTGGCAAAGACTAAAGCCCTAGTTCCGCTCGATCGCTTCTTAAATACGAGCTGTATTGAAGTTGCGTAAGTCCCGCCGTATGCATATGGAGAGCTGTCTGTTCTGTTGCCTGTATTTTGTCAAATCTGCTGAAGACTGCAGCTTCATCTCCCGTCTAAGTGTGTCTCCGCGTATGGCGGATTGCGGAACGGATTTACACGTCGATACCTGCCTTTGTGTGTTGCGTTTATTTTACTTCGTTTTTAATAATGTCGATATCAAAACTCAAACGTAACAAGAACGCGAAATCCCTAACAGGATGTCATGATCAACAATATTGAAGACATTGCTGAAATCCAGTTACACCAATAATGTTGATGATTTTCCATACCGTGGCAAATGTCGTTCGTGATTTTCAATAACGTCGTAGTCGTACTATGACCAGATCTAAAGCTACATTGGAGAGGGTTGAGCATGCTATTTCATAAACAAAAGGAATTAATGTTGCACAAGGCGTTCTAAGATTTTGTTAAGGGAAGGAAGAATCGAAATAGGGCGATATTCAGAAAAACTTGAAGGATTTGCTTCTTTTGGGTATAGGTATGATTTCTTCGTCCTTCCATTGGTTAGGGAAAGTAGATGAGGATATGGAAAAGTTTAAGATATATGTTATAATAGGTGTTAAAAATGTAATAATGGAATGATTATTTTACGACTGACGTCATCACTTCCAACAGCGTCAGAAAGAATAGAGAGAATGTGTTTCCTGACATCACAATCTGCAAATTGCCTAAAAACAAATGGAGAAATGTTAGGAGTGGGAAACGATTAAAATTGAGTAAATGTTGTTGATTTTGCCATATTATCCAAGCAAGAAACATAAGAAAAATGCTAACTAAGCAATTTTAAATCGACGTTATTTGGTATAGGGCATGAACGTGTTTTCCCAAATCCTATGGAACATAAAAGTTCCAAACACGACATGGATCTTCGTTTTGTACTGATTTATGGATACGGCGGCGTCGTAAATCTCTATACATCTTGTTGCATTGATTCTGCAGGAGTCTGTAATTCTCCCGAATCCTGTCATTCTTTGGATCTGACCTGTAAGTCGACTTTGCATTATTCTTCCTTATTATTTACACAAAGACTACACATTAAATGAAACTAATTTTTACGGATGATGAAATCATCATTACAGCCCTTCACAAATCCACTGCTGAACATAGGCCAAGGAATGCCACAAAACACGGTCCTGAGCCGCTTGTATCCATCGACTTCCTGCATGGCTTATCAGGTCGTCACTCCATCTAGTGGGGGTCGCCCTACTCTTCGCCTACCGGTACGAGCCTGCCACTCGAGAACTTTTTTCCGCCATCGGTTGTCGGTTCTTCGAGCTATATGGCCGGCCCATTACCACTTAAGCTTACTATTCTTCCATTGGGCTATGCCCATTACTCTATTTCTACTGCGGATATCTTCATTTTTAGGTCTATCACGCAGAGAAACTCCGAGCATAGCCCTCTCCATAGCTCACTGAGCAACCTTGAGCGTCCTCATACGGCCAGCAGTGAAAGACCACGTCTCAGATCCATAAGTCATCACTGGAAACACGCACTGGTTGTACAATCTCGTTTTCAGGTTTTGAGGTATACCTGACGAGAAGGTGTGTCCTAGTTTGCCGAACGCTGTCCAGCTGAGTTGATTCCGTTCCGTTCCGATTGACCTCTCGTTCGAAGTTGGAATATTTGTCCCAGGTAAACATAGTCGTCAACAATTTCGAGCTTAGTGCTCCCAACAACCGTGTAGTGACGGGTAAGAATACTCACTACCCCATATCTTCCCGTGGGTATCGTAAAAGGCGACAGAGGGAACCCGAGACAGAAGATGGCAGCAGCATCTTTCTGATAACAGCAAAACAACAATAAAAAAACTGCGGTTGCCAACCCGCTCGCCAAGCGTGTGAACTATGGCAATATACCCCCCATGAAAGTAACGAAGAGACGGCCCCCTGTCCCCGGCGGCCCTGCTATTCCTGGCTACGGAGTCGACCATGGTAACGGCAGGGTAGGGGGTGCTAAGAATCTCCGTTGGAGG